CGTCCCTTAATTTGCTTGTTTAATCTGGAAAGTACAAAACCCACCAATTAAAACTTTTTTTTATATATATTAGCCGAAAAGGTTTTCTTTACGTGTATATTTAGTTTTATTTAAACTTTGTGTTATTCTCCCTTCGGATCACCGTTTCAAATTATTTTTTAATATTTCTCATTATTTGCACAGCCTGTAGTTCAGGATATAATTTACTGTGTACTTGTATACACACAAGACGAACAAAATATCTTGAACATTAAATCCTTATTAATACAGAAAGAAAATAATTTGACTAATTATCAGATCTAAGTGAATTTGTCTTTTATACTCTTAATTCTTAGCTCTTTTAGGTGCCTAAACAGGTTAAAGTTTTATTACAATTATTAAATATACTGTTACTTTTCCATTAGCGTGTTAATAAATGTTAGATGCGAAAAAAGAACTTGAAAAGAAACAAACAAAATCCAAATACCTACATCTTTAATTTTCAACACTAAATTACTTCTTTTATCTCTATTTCTGTAAAAAACAAAAACAAACTGGTATGCACATTTAGTTTTCTCCTGGAAAACCAAAACGTATTTTTCAAATTGTTTTTTTCATAAATTAGACATAATGTGAACAAGAAGTTTAAAAAACATGAACATTTATTTAATCAAAATGAAGGAAAAGGTGCAAATGAAGGACATAAATTGCAAACAAAGATGCTCTTTTCATGTTTTTTTAACTCTCAGCTGTGACCTCTGACCTTTGGGAGTGTGCAGTTTGTGTCCTGTGGTCTCACACCAGCCTGCAGCGTGGATGTCAGTGGAGTTGGCGTTCACCCAGAAGTCGTGACAGTCAGAGTAGCCGTCGAAATGCAGCCGCAGCCGATAACCACACACCTGCAGAATTACAGCGCGACATGTTAGAGGAACCCAATCAGACTGCAGGAGAGCGAGGAGGAGGAGCTCCTGTCTGAACTGATCCTGTAAAACTGAAAAGCCTGCACGCATTTTTATTAAAATAAATAAATAAAACTAAACTCATCGACTCACCTCAGCCACGGTGAGGACGAAGTACATGGACGGATGTTGTGGGTCGATGCCTTCCAGTTTCATCCCCTGCTTGAAACCGTTCTTCACTGTGGGGACTCTCTGAGACTGGACGTGAGGAGAAAAAGATCTAAATGATTCAGTTCAGCACAGAGAATGATCTAAAGTAAATAACTAGATCCTTTTAAGGGAAACCACAAGAGGTTAAAACAGAGGAAGGATAAGAAAGCTGCAGTAGATTTGTTTGGATATTGTTGAACCTACTTTAAACCTATTTCCTTATTTGTTACGGGGGATTTATTACTATATCTATGGAAAGAGCAAAATAAGTCAAAATTACTTGGTGGAAAAGATTTTCAGGAGCAGCAACAGCTTTGGTTTCCTCCAGACACTGAGCCCACGTCCACAGCTCTGTCTTACTGTCCACACCTTCCACAAAAACAAAAATCTGTCACTTATTTTATAAAATATCTCATTCATGTTTGTGGGAAGAACAAGATATATTAGGATATATTAAACAAATGTACAATTAAATGGTACATGAGAGTAAATAACTCAAATTCAGAGGAAAATAAAGAAAAAGAAATTTGATTTTCTCATATTTATGTCAGTTCTGAATAAAAATGATCTCATTAGAAAAACAAGACAGTGCACTGATTACATGAGTGTATTGTATATGAAATTTTATAATTTACACCAAACAAATGAGTAAAAAATGGGAACAAAATATTTTTGAGATTAACAAAAGTAAATAACCTCTGATGTGTCGCATGTCCACTTTAGAATAATCCATCTTCTCATCCTAAACAACAGGAAATGAACGTAGATGAGTTTCAACAATCACACATTTTGATTTTGATTTTATTCATTAATAACTGTCTGAACCTATCAGCTGTGAACACGTTTGTCTCTCAGTAGCAAATAAAATATATTTTTCTCTCACTGGTCCTTCGAGGTCAGAGTCTTCCTCAGAGGGGCTCAGATACTCCTTCCTCTTCCTCTTCCTCATAGGTTTCAAGTGATCTGGATTAAGGACGGAGACCCTCCCACCTGCTGGCACCTTCTCCACACCGACACTCCTCCTGAGGTGTGAGGGGGACAGAAATAGGTGTGTGTGTGTGTGTGCAGAAAAGTAAAGCAGCCATTTTGAACATACTTTTCAGAAAGGGGGTCCCTGCGTAGCTCTTCGTTAAAGCTCCTCTGAGGTCTGGGATCATGGTTCTGTTGCTCCAGTCTGATCTGGACTTCAGGTTTGACTGGCACTGACCTGTCAGGCTCCACAGCTGCAGCTCTCAGGGACCCGACAGGAGCCAGTACTTCTGGGACACACAACGTGAGCATCAGATGGGAATTAAAAACTGCCCACCATCAAAGGTGAAAATAATTAATTCTTCTCTGTGCCTGAGTTTGTGTTTTATTGCCTGTCTCATACTTAAACATTAATGAAAAAAGCTAACATTTGATGTGGTGGTAGCTCACAGCACATACTCTGAGCGTTAACAGCGCTCATGAGATTGCGTATACAGTAGTTATTTTCAAAATTTAACCATAACAGCTGTAACCCTGTCCCTAGCACTAAAGACGGCAGGAGATTTGCATTCTTTTAAGGCCGGGTCTCTGCTCCAACACGTCTGATTTTAATCAGTGGTGATAAACTTGTTTCTGAACAACACGAAGGGGTAGTGCAACCATCAAGGCTGGTGTTTTGAAGCAAGGAAACCAGTAAAAAAATGCAGGATGACCCTCAAGGACCAGGATGGGGCACGCTGCTTTAAGGAATGCTTTTATTTAATAGCTAGATTTGAACTAATCAAGACAACTTCATACTGACTGCTTGATATTTTAAAATAAATGTGCAGCTGCAGCCTCTTCACTTGTCATGATGAGCTCTGCTGCAGCTGATGTAATAATTGCTCATCTCTGCTTAATACTCACACGGTGGATCTTTGAAAAGGGCGAATGCTTTGTGTGCGTATCAAACATTGTGTTACCGGGAGGATTACAGCAGCAAATACACTTGATTTTCTGATCATATAAAAACTTTTGAATTTTTTAATTCAATAAACAAAAACCAAGTGTGGTTAAAAAAAATTTGCTTTTTAAGACATTTAAAATTACTTGAACGTACAAAAGCCTTTCATATTAAAGACAGACATTTTTCAATAAATGAGACTTTGTGTCCAGCTGCTCGGTGCACCTGCACTCTTACCTGGCTTGTTTGGAGCTCTTTCAGGATCAGATTTCCCAGAAGTCCCTGCTGTTGGGTTGGTAGTGCCACTGGTGGTCCCTGGGGTTATCAATGTGCTCAGAGCTCCTACGTCACTCACACAAAACTACAACACACATATCAATGAATTTACAAGTCAAAACGTCTCCTGTTTGGATCTGTTTAAGTAAATTTATTAGAACTGTTTATTTTCTAAATATCAAATTACCTGGAAATGAACTTAAAAAAAATGTGTCAGTATTATAGATAAGATGTGATAAGCCTTACATTTTACTCCACAGTAACATTAAATTCAAACATCACTTTACCTTGAGGTTGCTACTGGGCAGGATGGCCATCCCCTCCTTCCACTCCAGGACGTGGAAGATGCTACAAGCCCCGCCCACCTGCGCTGTCAGAGCAGGTGCAGCCAGCTCATTGGGTCTGCTGCCTTTACCTGGGTTTCCCACGGCAACAGCTGGAGTCAACTCCACTTTCTGATGACCAGGAGCTGATTAAAACAATTAAAATTATTTAAAAATATTAGTTTTTAAAAAAAAGCACAACAGACAACATGATACCGCATGCAGAGTAATAACTAAACCTCAAAGCTGATCACGTTGCATGTTCATTTCCTAAATAATAACTGTTGTATTAGAGTCAAAAATACCTCATGTTATTGTTAAAAACATTTATTTTAGCGTGCATTTGTTGGTAAATGTGATTTTTGGATTAAAGCTCTCCAGAAGATGGAGAACAGTATATATCAGAGTGGAGCCGGCATTTATTTATTTATTTATAACCTCAGTCATAAACTCACCTGGCAGGAGAAGAGCTGTGGTGGTGTGGGGCTGCGGTCGGGTTTTCTTGGCAATGCTGTCACTGCTGCAGATAAGGATGGCCTCGCTGGTGGATGAAGGCGATGGGTCCACAGGGGTGCAGTCAGCTTCTTTGGATGGAGCCTCCATGGTCACTTTGGCACTCATACTGGGGTCCCTGTTTCTTGTGCTTGAGCCCTGCAAAGTCTGAAAACAAGGACTTCTAACGTACAGAAAAGACTAAAAGGTTTGTCATTTTATTATTGTGAGTAAATGTGGCAAGTCTCCGAGTTATAACTGAAGCCAGATGTTTACAGGGTGAACAGAACTGGAGGGAGCACGGTTCCCTGAGGTGCTCCTGATGTGTTGTGGTCTCTCGGTTTGTGATCCAGATGTGTGTCCACCTCCATCTCCTCAAGCTGGTCTCTCAATAGCAGGGACTGGATGTGTTGAAGGCACTGGAGAAGTCAAAAAGCATGACCCTCACAGATGTTTCCCTTGTCTAGGTGACAGGGACCCTCCGGAGAAGCAGGCTCAAGTCGGACATGTTGGAGAGGCACCCCCAGATGGACAGCACATGCCTTGAGCATCCTGGGGCATACCTTGTGTGGGCCCGCTGCCTTCCTGAGGTGTAGTCTGCTAAGCTCTCCTCTCTTGATTTACAGTGAATATTTATGCGGCAAATGATGGTGTTGAGGGCAGCACCAGGTTAAACTTGGGGAATGTGTGTTTCCAAACTGCCTCCAGGTCACTTCTTTATGCAATGACCAGTTTATTCCATTTCATATGTCCATGCTTTAAACATTGCAGACTGAGACACGGACGGACCAGGTCCAAACAATTGATGCTTGGCCTAACTCGCTACGGCACCATATATAACACGATCAAGAGAAAATACGACGACCCCGGGCGCACCCAACTTCCTCATCCATACAAAGCCAGAACTCCAGTAAGCACGCCATTTACACCTGGTGATGGTCACGCACACATCGGCACACCCACCACCCAAATGTCAAATCAGCGTGCTCACCTGTCACATCATCAATTGCTTATTTCACTCATATGGCTCTTGAAGGTGGGAAGACTGTGTGTTTATTTCAGCTATTGGGGATGTTGATAAAGGTAATGATGATAGTGGAGGTGAGGACGAGTGGTGACGAGGTTAACGCTGCTGGAAGAGAGGGGGGCGCTGGAGCAGGACAATCAAACCTATTGAAAAAGGTGTTGAACTGGTTTACCTTGTCCATACCCCCGTCTGCTGAGCTTCCACTGTTCTTGTGTTCAAACATGTGATTTAATCAGGAATAACATGTTTTTAGTAGATGCATGTTGCACAATGTAAATAAAATTAGCACAAAGGTACAAGATATAAAAATGTCATATGTTTGTTTGGAGACATGAAAAGTAGTACCTTTTGGAGATCCATACCTTAGACATATTTTTTTTATTGTACTTTATTAATCCCTAATGGGGAAATTAATTATCTGCATTTTTCCCATTGCACATGTGAGCACACATGTGAAGCAGTGAGCTCTTCATCTTAAGGTGCCCGCCCGGGGAGCAGCAGTGGGGGTTAAAGGCCTACTTCACAGTACATTCAAAGTTTAAGCAGTAGAAACAAGGATTTTACATGGTACTTTTTTTACAGTTTTCACACAACTGCAGCTCTAGTTCTGTTGGGGGTGGTTAACACATTTTTTTGCAGTGCTTAACTGGTATTTGAAGTCACACTGTAATTTTTATTTATTTTTGTAACAAATTTGTTGTACTTCAACAAGGCTTTTTGGTACAAGTTACTCTTCAAAGCATGAGCATTTTCGTCTTCTTTCACTCAGTGTCTTTCATTAATATACCACATATAGTTTTCTTTCAAACACCCCAGAATGCAGACACGTAGAGGGTTCAGATCTATTTTAACTCAAAATATTCTCCTAAAAGATGAAATGAAGGGTCTTTGTAACATGCAATATCATATAGGGTGTTGTAAAAAAAATAAATATAAAGATTCACATGTACGACCTACAGAGCCTTCTGGCGCTTTTGACTCAAGAACGTTTAGGATTTAGTTTGTAGATTTTATATAGCAACTATGTTTCAGGCTTACTTTACAGTATGCACTTGTGTCTGCCTCTCATTAACTTGCCTGTAGCAGAGATAGGAGTGTGGTTACCATGGTGACCAAATTGAGCCATTGAAAGCAGCTCTTACATTTATTTTTATCCTGATTTCTTTACCACTTCTTATACAGTTCACACATTAAAAAGTGTTGTTTTGTTTATCTCTTTGAATATTACAAAAGTATGTAGATATTTTAGTTAGTCGCTGCATTGGAACCCTTCAAAATATAGTTTTCCTATTTTTTTTTTACACAGTTCTAATTTTATTGAAAAAACAGCCATGTTGTGTTTTTACCAACCATCCATCATCTCCAATGGAAAAAAAACACCAGTGACACACCAAGAAGTCCACACACTCACACACATATAATAAAAATACAGCATTTCAGATAAAATGGCGGAGGAACTGAAATCCATGAGGCAAATTTTGTACAAACATTCACCATTTTTTTTTAGGAAAAAAAAAAAACGTATACATAAAATTTAACCTTGTAATTATTTCCGCCCCTATCTCTCTAGTGAATAAGTATTATTTAACCCTGTAAGACAACGCGTTAGTTAATTTCAGGAACAAGGAAAAAGCGCGTTTGTGTAAATGAGGAGACTGATCGACGTGGATTCATCGCGCACTACTAGCTAATCAAACGTTCATCACAGGTTAACCAAAAAAAAAACCTTATGAGATGGATTACATACAATAAATGCTACAAATATCCGTCACAAATGGACGTCTGTACTCCTAAAAAACGCGCGGGGACAACTATTTTGCTTTCACGCAGTTGTCAGCGAGTGAAAAACAGAAAAAGCGTTTATAGATTTTAGGAACTGAAATTTTTCTCACCAGCGCTGATCTCCTGCGGCTCCGGGGCTTTCAGTGCGCATGCGCAGACACAACTGACCATATTTAATTTCCCATTTTTTAAAACGCTAAAACCAGCGCAGTTTGCACTTTTTTTTTTTAAATCGACATTTGTTGGATCATAGATTAAACTACAAATCTTTCAGAAACCGGTATGAAAATGTCCCATTTACTCGTTCTACACCCAGTTTTTATTTCCCTTAATAATCCTTATATAATTAGCAGAATTTAGGTCATACACCACTGCACCCAAGGTTGTTTCCTATTTTTGCAATAACACAAAAACTTATTTTGTTAGGATCTTTATTTGAACATACATTTAAAAACAAACTCATGTTATGTTGGGGGGGGGGGGGGCATCAACACAAGATGTAGCTGCTTCCAGCAAGTAGTTTCAAAACAAAAAACCCACCCCAGTCCTGACTGTATTCCTTCAACTTAAATTCCACTAATGCACTCTAAGCAGATCCTTAAGTAAAATAAAAATAATTTGAAACTCACAAAAAGGAGAAAAATCACTTTAGAAAGACTTTACTAGGGATGAAATCCATCCAGGAAACCGAGAAATGTTTAAGGTACTGACGCTCTACTGAATGCTAAATAAAACGTGTCAAACACCCAAGAAAGAATTGGAGAAATCATTTATGCAAATTAGTTCATACACAGAAGTTCAAAGGGATAACCACATACAATGCAAGCTATTTAAAGATGAAATACAGATTTATTACTTGTAATTACACAGCTTTGCTTCTCAAACGTTGGGACTCGTTGAAAATAAAGATGAAAACTGCTGCAGTGCTGCGGGTCACGTACTACTACTCCACATTTGCGCACGAAATAAGTACAAAACAAATTAGCTCTATTAGCTCTAAGCAATCAAGCTCGTTTGAATGAAAACTTTAAAAGTCAAACAAACTACTTAACAAGAACCGTTGGGTTCGTACAACTGAAGATCCTATACGATGCAGCTGGGAAGACAAGTGGCAGGTGTGAGACTTCTAAATACCCCCCCCCCCCCAAAAAGCCTTGGCAAAGTGCATCCATCTGTAACAGTAAAAGATGAATACATGCTTGAAGGAGGAAAGTCAAAGCATAAGCCTGAATTACACAACACTGCTCACTATGTACAGCAAAAACAACCGAGCTCTAAAATAAGAAAACACCTTTCTGCTCTTCCACTAATCCTGAGAGGCGGATCTGGACCGCGAGCGAGACCTCGAGCGGGACACTGAGCGAGACGCTGAACGCTTCTCTCTTGATTTAGACCGGCGATCGCCTTCTTGTGGCGATGGAGAGCGGGAGGCAGATTTAGCCGCACGCTCCTCTTTCCCATTCTCGACAGGTGAAGTGGAACGGCTTCGGGACTTCTTGTCCCCAGACATCTCCTTTGAGCGGCTACGAGAATCCCGGTCAGACTTTGCTCTAGAACGACTCTTTGAACGGGACTTTGACTTTCTCTCAGCTGAACGGGAACGGGACTTGCGAGACTGCGAACGGGATTTGGACTTCTGGGATCGTGAACGGGATTTGGACTTCTGGGATCGTGAACGGGATTTGTTGGTGCGAGACCCCGATTTCCTATCGCCAGACTTGGAGCGAGATTTCCTTTCAGACCTGGAGCGGGACTGTCGTTTCCTCTTGTCGCTGCGGGAACGAGATCTATGAAAATAAAAACAACATTTAAGGTTTCTGCTATGACAACATTCAAATACGACTAAAGCCCAACAATAAGCATCCTCGTCATCAGTTTAACATTATTAACATCAACCCTCACCGGGAGTGGGACCTGGAGCGACTCCTTGAGTGACTGCGGCTTCTGCTGCGGGAGCGGCGGCGACTACGGGATCTGCGGACAAAAAGCTGAGTCTCAAAATACAATTAAATACTAATTTTTGATACTTCAAACAAATGAACAGCCACACCACGTGGCAACCTAGAAATATATTTATATCCATTTTGAAACTTGGACTCAACCTGGAGCGGCTGCCGCCAGAATAGGACCTTCGTTTGCGAGATTTTTCCTCCACCAAACGAATCTTGCGCCCATTGATGTCTGTACCGTCCAGCTTGTCCACAGCCCTCTTCAAATCAGAATAGCTCCTGAACTCAATTACCCCCTCATTGTTACGTTCCTTGTGGGCGTCGGCATAAGTTACCTCACCCGCCTGACGCATGAAGTCCTGTTGAGACAAAGTAATAAAACAATGTTTACGTACTCGCAATATAATTTCACATTAGTAACACTGGCTCCAAAAAGCAAGATTGTGCCTTTAAATTTACCTTGAGGTCTTGCCAACTACAGCGGGTGGACAAGTTCTCCACAATGAGACGATACTCAGTACGAACCGGTGGTCCATACTTATCCCGGTTTGTGCGGTTCCTGTTGCTGTAACTGCTGCTACCTTTAAAAAAAACAACAGCAAACATTTTTTAGGAACATGTATAATGACAACTGAAGCACTCGCAGCCTGGACAGTTAAATGAACACAAGTCAAATCTAACTCCAAATAAAATGAATTTAATTTAATCTGGAAAAAAGCCCTTTAAATACCACTTTTCTCCAGAGTTTCATCTAAGCTATCTACAAGCCATTTGCTCTGTAAAGTTTGTATTGTTTCATAATATGAAGATGCTCCCTGCTACAAAGAACACCACTGCAGTGGTTTTTGGTACTACAAAACGTATCTTGTACAATATACTGTGATACTATTAAATGAACAGTGATGTTCTTTCAAGATCCCTGAACCCTGTAACACAAAAAAAGAAGGTATTCACATAGGCTACTATTAAAGACGCCGGTCATCCAAATTGAGCATATATGATACAGTGAATTCACCAAATATGTTTATTAGCACCTTCCATTTTACTGGATGTCAATTAAAAATGCACTTCTCCAGTTTTGCACTTACAGAAATTTCTTTAGATTTTGAAGTTCTTAACTAGAGCCGATCCACTCATGTTTGCTGTCAACATAGAAACCAATGGCAATCCTCACCATCACCCCTGGACTATTGGCAAAAGGCTGTTGTCATCATGGCTTCCGGTTAGGTCAGCCAAGGATCAAGGGGGGGCAAAGGTCACACACACATTGTAAGGTGAAAGCCAAGGCCAAACGGGACAGGCAGTCATCTTAGCCAGTCATCTTTAGCCTCAATGGACTCAGCCTCAGCTGGACTCTTTCAAATTAAAACATCAAGGACTTTTGTTAATGTTTAATATAATAAAAAAATATATATGCCAAAGTTAGCAAAACACAGTTCACAGGAAAATGTTAGTTTAGTCCTAATCACTTAGCTAAAGCTACATGTATGCAGTAATCAAACATATTTAGCATTATTGCAACAGTGTAAAAACAACAAGTATGTTTTTATTCCTACCTTTGTACAACTTTCTTAGAAAAAGCTGCACAATTTATTGTTCTCTACTATCAACTAGGGCTGCACAATATGTCAAAACTGCAAGCATTTGTGAACCCTATGCCAATATAATTGTCCAATCAAATGGATTTTTACTAATCCCGATGCCCACACCACTTTCGATTAATAGCGGCCAAAATGCTAAATCACACACAAAATCAATGCTGACTTGACAGAATAGAAGGAGTGAGAAAAAGATGGGTTGAAATATACAAAATATTTAATATCGCAATCGTGTATTTTTTTTTCTAAAATTGTGCAGCCCTAATATCCTTTAACAAATATCCAGTACAAAATTATCTGACTTGCAGTTGGCTGCTCATTCTCATCAATAAGAATAGATTAAACAAGAACAGCCAAACCTGCAGGTCAGAAACTGATTCTGCTCTTGAGTGGGCAGAGGGGGAGATTAAAAAAAACTGGGTGGGTCAGGTCTGCAAGAACTGTTATCACAAACTGGAATAACCTTGATAAGACGCAAATTAAATTTTAGAATTCAAACAGGGTTGCATGCAAGATGAAACCAATAAATACGATTTTTTTTTTAATGGAAACTGAACTTGAGCAGAAACCAAACGATCACAATTCTAAGCAACGAAATTAGTCTATAAAACGTATAAACACCGCTTTCAACGATAGACGGAAAAGAAAGATGGAGGATGCATTAAAAATGTCAGCACTTACTGCGCCCACCGCCGCCCCAGTAACTCCCACCACCACCTCCACCTCCGCCTCCGCCTCCACCATAGCGGTCGCCGCCACCACCACCGCCGCCGCCGCCGCCGTAGGAATCCCGATCTCGCCGCGGGCCTCGAGCATGCTCGACGATCACGCGTTCTCCACACAGCTCCTTCCCGTTCAGCTCGTAAACTGCGTCGTCGGCATCCCGATTATCTTCAAACTCCACGAATCCATAGCTATAGAAGAAAAGCAAACAAACGTGAAACAACCTAAAATGAGCTGCAGGGCAAATTTAGTGTAACGTAAGTTAGCTAGTAGCATGCTAGCTCTTTGCCCACGATGGAGCAGAAGGCAGAAGACGCCATGTTGGACATGCGACAATTCCCGTAATGACAACTGAATAAAAATCCCCACACATTAGCATCTATTCACAATAAATATTTATTGGAAATGCTATTATATTTCACTATTTAAACTAATCTTGCGTCTGAAACTAAATAAATCTACCTTAAAGCACAAACGTTCGAGACGTGTCGTTCACATGAATGCTAGCGTTAACATTAGCTAAAAGCACTACGGCCGTACTTCCACCTACAACTCACCCGTTTTTCAAGTCAATCTCCATGAGTTTTCCATATCCGCTGAAAAATCGATGGATATCTTTTTCGCGAATTTGATAGCTCAGACGTCCAATGTAAACTCGTGGCATACTTCTATCTTTTTTGCTCTAACGTTGTTCTCGACGATTCTTCCGAACAAAACGAACCACAAGCTGAAACCTAAACTGCTACAACAGGAAGACTACACCTCCCAGTCACAGGAAATGTGCGGCTCTCGTGCCACACAGCCAATCAGCGATAAGATAAATTTGGACGTTTCCGGTATAAAAAAAATTAAAAGCTGCGAAACGAGTTGCCAAAAAAAACAATGAAAATAAGCGTAAATCAAAACTGATTAAATTAGATTGTTTATTATTCTGCTATTCTTGCAATATTTACCTTGGCTATTGCTATGGCAACCAAATTTCCTTCTGGTGTTTAAAATATATTGATTTCACTCAAAATTATTATTTCTTTTAAAGATTTCACCACTCAATTAGAAAAAAACGCCGGTTTTAGCTAAATCTTATCTTCACTTTTTACGTCAGCAGGAAACATTGTTTATTAAACAGATGTTGCCAGTTAAGACATTTTGGAGCAGTACCATTTTGTGGAATTTAAGCTCCTTAAAAGATACATCAGGTATAAACACACGATAAATGACTAGTTATAAACTTTTGTCCTTTCTGCCAATACAAATTGGGCACAAGAGAAGACATGCACAAATGCACAAACAATGGATACAAGCAGAAAACATAAAGGAGAGAGAGGTTTTATTTAAGTAAAAATTCAGGTTTTTAAAAAGGCTCATCAGACCTTGGGCTGCAAACAGGAGAAATAAATTTGTTCAACCTGCATCACAAAACACTAATACCCAAGCTAGAATGAGGTATACTTTTATTTAACCACACTGGTAAATAGCACAGTGTTTGCATGGATTTTTGTAATTTTTTAACAATAGGGGGTCTGGAAATAGCTCAAAACCTGTTCTATTTGACAATATTTATAATTTTCAAAATATTCCAGTCTAATTAGTCTCATAAAAGTTGATCAGAAATCAATGCTACAAAAGCACTCAAAAACACACTGTATAGTTTTTATTTCTGTCTTGGACAACCTCACCTCATCAGTCATTTTACCTGCAGTCTCCTCTTGAAGAGCAGCTTTGTATGAAGACCTCTTCACTAACAAATGTGATGTGTACCAGACTATTAAAAAAACAATTTAAGATTAGCAACAATGCGTTGGAGAATACAGCAGTGACCCTGGGTGCAAAAAAAAAAAGGGAAAAAAAATTAAAAAAAGAAGCTTTCTTAATGTAAGCTTGGTTGAACAATCTGTGTGATGAAAATGTTTTCATGACTGGTATGTCTGAGAAGATGATCCAAGCTGTGGTCAAACTTTTCTTCAAGGAATTAAAAAAATGGATCACAGCAAAATGGTGGGGAAAAACAGGGAGGTGGAGGGATCATCAGCCAAACAAACCAAATTCATTTAATCCAACAGTATCTGCTGAACACCATCTGCTTACAGCACCTGAACCCTTTCTGTTGGTTTTAGACTCTCACTCTCTGCCCATGTTTTACAGGCAATGACAACTAAACAGCCAAACCCTCCCGCAGTTCGATTCAGAGAGTCCTTTAAGCAAATCAGTAGGGATGCCCATGCCCAACTCCAGCTTTGGACCTTCTGAGGGAGGGAACAAACAAAACAAGAGGCCGAAGGAAGAGGGGGAGCAGAGTTATCGTGGCCTCTAGTTGGTTTTGGCGCGAAGCTGCGCTCTCTTGCCCGTCACAGCCTGGAAACCAGTCTTGATGCTGGCGACAGAGCAGCGAGAGTGGCACGTCTCACACTGAAGGAAATAAAGACGAGTGTCCTTCTGCAGGATGGTCTCAGGGGAGCGGCAAGTGTGACACGTCACATATTCCTCTGTGAGACAGAAAAGAGCATTAGTAGCAGCACACGGGAAATCACTGCATGAGCGTGGGGGATGTTCTCCATAAAAAGACAAAGGCCTGTCACGATAACAAATTTTGCCGGGCGATTAATTGTCTCAAATTATTGCAATAAAGGATAATGTTTGAAATTTGACATTAATAATTATTGTCAAATTTAAGAAGAAATGTAATTTTTGTGTAGTGCTTTTTTTGACCACTGGATGGCAGTATAAGACTGTGTGAACAAAAGGATGGCTAGTGAGGGAGAGAGCAGCGTGTCGCTTTAAGAAAAATGGGAGGGAGACCCTTGACGTGACATGGGCTGTCCCCTGATCTTGTTGTTTGGTTTTCAAAATGGCGGACCCTCAGTATGTTGAGCTCTTTAGCCAATAAATCGATATATTGTTTATCGCGACAGGCCTACAAAAACATCAGCCTCAATTTAATGCCTTTTCCGTTCATTCACAGATCTGGGGGTATAACAAAAATAACGACTAATATGCTTTAAATTTGTAAACGTAATAAGAGCTAATTTCAGTCAACTCAACAGTAAATAAAATTATTCATTTCCAACTTACTGATATATCTTCTCAACACATTTTCTATCTGTTTCTGTTGAAATCTGCCTTTGATCACGAGCTGGTTGTTTCCATCTATTGAACCGCTGTTGAAACAAAAAGACAAATTAACAACAATTAGGTAAAGAACTTAAAAAAAGTGATTGTCAAAATCGCGGATACCAAAAGACCTACCTCGTTCCCAGCTCAGCCAGTAGAAAAGCGAGGAGATGTTTAGGCTGACGATGCAACCTGCGAGGCAGGAAGTGAAATTTATTTCAAGGACTTGCACACACCCAGGCCGGTGTGTAAATAAGATCTGATGTGACTCACAGTTTGCAGATGTCTGTGAAGTTGACAAAGGAGGTTTTCTTGGTTCCCACTCGGACCACCTGAGGAGGCTTCATCACAAACTTCCTCTTCTCTCCAGCCACCATGTCGGGGTTCTTCTCCCTCATGATGTTAAAGACTCTGTTTAAGAGCTGAGACAGAAACGTGACAGTTTGTCTTTAAGGTCGTTCAGCATTAAGGAAGTTAAACGTTGTTTTTTTTTTTAATTTTGTGTGCTCCTACCTCATCGTAGGTGTAGTCTCTTTCTGAGTCAGCCCATGCTGGTCCTGTGGAGGGGCTGAACGAGATCCCATCGTTGTTTTTACTCTCGTCTTCCTGTGCTGCTAGCGTTAACATGCAAACCTTTTTGTTACATAACTTTAACTTGGGTGTTAAGAGGGGGAAAAAAAGAATAGTTTTATTTATACCGTCGTCGTTCTCCAACAGCTCTCCCTCATCAAAATCCACTTTCTTCGCCTTCTTCTTTTTGGTGGGGAGCATCAAATCCAAGTTATCCTCTTCCGGCACCTCCGTCTGCTCTCCTTCAATTTTCAGCTCCTGGTTTAAACCAGAAAAGGTGAAGTTTTAGTAACAAAGAGTAGAAATGTAGGCCAGTCAGTAAAATGATCAGAAAAGTGAGAAGAAGAATTGCTTACCTTTAATCCTTCCTCTACATCATTATCAAATACTTTTTTAGGTTTTTTCTTTTTTTTCTTCTGGTTGAGGAAGTTCAAGTCGTTCAAATCATCAGATACTTCTAAAAGAATTAAACACAACCGACAGAGTTTCAGCCCAATGCTCTCAGAGGTACTGTAAACACATTTGAGTCTAAATGAAAACGTCCATTTTCCTTCCAACCTTTTTTCCTGCCTTCATCTTCATCCATGTCAAACTCCTTGTCATCTCCAACCTCTGGCTCCGCCTCCTTCGCTTCCACCTCTTTAGTCTCTTCTCCTCCGATCCCTTCTCCTCCTTCCTCGTCCAACATGAAGGGCTTCTTCTTCTTTTTCTTCTTCTTGGACATGTTGGGGTCAAAAATCATCTAAAGAAAAAGAGTGGAGAAAAAAACAACAATTCTTTAGATTTTAGTTTGAACTTTATGTAACGAGTGAGAATCTAAGTGTTAGTGTTCATAAAATCACTTCAAAAAGGGTAGAGTGCCCTCTCTGGGTCAGGGAGGAGGTCCTGCCCTCATGTATGGTCATGAGCTTTGGTTAGGATGCCTCCTGGACGCCTCCCTGGTGAGGTGTTCCAGACACGTCCCACTGGGAGGAGACCCAGAGGAAGACCCAGGACACACTGGAGGGACTAAGTTTCTCGGCTGGTCTGGAAACACCTTGGGATTCCCCGGAGGAGCTGGACCAAGTGGCTGGGGAGAGGGAAGTTTGGGCCTCCCTACTTAAGCTGCCCCATGACCCGACCCCGGATAAGCGGATGAAAATGGATGGATGGATGTGTCTCAATTTAAGCTCACCGATCATTTACTTTGAAAAACAATAAGTAGATCTGTATGAAAATATAACCTGTCATTTAACCCTCACATTGAAAATGTTACCAGGAGTGCTTTCTTCCACCTCTGCAATATCCCTAAATTTAGAAACCTCTTGTTCCAAACTGATGCAGAAAAACGAATCCATGCTTTCATCACTTCTAGGGCTAGGCTGAACTGTTCTAATTCTTAGGGGTGCAGCGATTACAGTTTTCTGGCCGATCACTGATTCCTAAAGTTTGACCTGCAGATTCCGATTTTGTTGAATAAGCAACACTGTCAGGTGTCACAAGGTCACAATGTACCTTCAAATTTCCAATACTATTTTACTGAAAAAAATTAAAATCGGCCGGCCGATTTATCGGTGCACCCCTAGTAATTCTTTATCATTTGGGTGTCCCAAAAAACAAACAAACCTGTTAAGACTTGTGGAGGACAAATTAACCACATTTCCTCATTCTGCTGCCGTCTTTAAGCTCACTACTCTATGTTTATATTTGCAACCATTCCTACCATCGTTGCTGTTCCCATGGAAACTACACCTGGACCAGTCCTGTGTTTGTGTCTCTTTCCTACCCTTTAAACCTCCATCATGGCCGCTCATCTGAGCCCAGTTGTAGTTCTGTTGTTTCTTCCTGTTAAAAGGGAGTTGTTCCTTCCCACTGTCACCTCCAAACTGCTCAGGTTGGGAGATGATTAATCTGCTGGACTCAGATAAATTTTAATAATCAGCACTTCAAACTGTACTGTGTGTGAATGTTACTGAAATGGCTGTACTTAAATGTGAGATTTGGACGTTTTTACTGTAATTTTGGGCTCTGCGATTATTTTAGTTAACTGGCTCTTCTATATACATAAAATGAAATGTCAATTATGTAAATTACTTAACTGTGACAGATTGGCAGCTTGAAAATCAATGAGTATGCTTTACAATTATCCAGTAATTTCACAACCATATGCGCAATGAGGCTAATCCTAATCTCAATATTCTGCAAGTATCTAAAATATGCTTATCTGACGTGAACCATGGACGCTCTTGTCGTGAATAAAGACAGAACAACGTGTCTTTATTTTTCAAGCACACACCAGCAGCTCTATAGCAATACATTTCTAGAAGTATACATGTTGTGGTTCTAGGATAATGATTGGTGGTTTGAGAACGTTTTTGTACTTCATGAATTAATCGAGCTAACGCGGTAGCTGTTTGTTAGCATCGCCGTGAATTTCAACGAACCCTCCTGTCAGTTGAGTTTGACTCGTTACCGGCTGCGACACGACGGCCTCACAGGCAGATATCAACCATGTAACCGTGTGACACAACGTTATACCGCAGTATAGTGGGGTTTTCTTGACAATGCGGTTGCTCGGGCCGCCGCTGCTAGCCGCTGAAGCCATGTGAGAGCAGACTGCGGAGGGAAGCAGCAGCTCCGAGGCCCAAAGTCATCCTTAACAAGATGGTTCGAGAATTCGCTCGGCTTCAACCCCAAGATCGACACAGATTAAACAGCGGGTGACCTCAGACCACCTACCTCGTCTCCAGACATGTTTGCAAGCGGGTAAAAACTGAGTTCTGGCTACTTTTTTTTTATTCCTCGAGCTCTTCCACACCTCTGCGCCGTAATATTTCTTGCATCAGCGCTAGACCTCAGTGCGCATGCGCGAAACAGCCAACTGCCTACGCACTTTGTCCGCGACGGCGCGCATGGCCCATGAGCGTTCAAGATCAAAACGTTGCAAATAAAACGTTTTTTTTTTTTTTTCCCCTTCAACGTTTTAGATATGCAAACATTTTGTAAGTGTTGTGAACATTCATAAGTGTTACTGTTTATTTCTGGTATTCTGATGCAATTAGTGAGACACTTTTTGTTTGCTATGTAGATAGTAAGAGAAATGGAGAAGGGGTGGTCTTGAAGGAGGAGTTAGGAAGAAATGTAGTAGAGGTAAAAAGGGTGTCAGATAGTGATGGGACAGCAGTTCTTTTGGGTGTACTGAATACCTAGAATCAGTTCATTAAAATGATTAGTTCAAAGGATTTGTTCACCAAAAGCTACATTTCATGCAGTACGGGAGTACTACACAAACAAATCACTTCTCAGTGGCAGTTGTCTGTGCGTCGACATGCACAAGTCGGCAGTTCGTTCATTGAACAAATCACTCCCTTATGGCAAGCCCTTTTAACATAAAATAGGATTCACCACGCTTACATTCCAGATATCTGAAACTGAGTTTTGACTAGACATATTGGTTATTTAAGATATCTTGAATTGCCATACTCTGCGTAGCCTATGTCCGAAAGTAACACAACACTACAGCAGCAAGCAGCATGTTCACTAAACGTAAACATGAGTCCTCTTTCTTTTATTTTTTTTATTATTATTATTAATACGACTTTATTAAGGACACGGAACATCTGGTTTATAGAAAATTTTGAAATAAAAATTGTGGAGTTTATCAATTGTGGCGCAGTCAGTAGAGCTGCTGTCTCTCAGCAAGCAGGTTACCCTGATTTAAATCCTGGTCTGGGCCTGGGGGCCTTTCTGGGTGGAGTTTGCATGTTCTTTCAGTGCATGCGTGGGTTTTATCCGGTACTCCAGTTTCCTCCGACAGACCAAAAACATGCATGTTAGGCTGATCGGTAACTCTAAATTGTCCCAAGGTGTGAGTGAGAGAGTGAATGGTTGTTTGTCTCGTTTGTCTCTATGTGTCCCTGTGATGGACTTGCAACCCATCCAGGGTGTACCCCGCCCCTCGCACAGTGATTGCTGGATCTTGGCACCGACGACCCCCGTGACCCAAAATGGAAGAAGCGGGTAAAAGATAATGGATGGATGATGGAATTGATAAAATAATCTAAAACAGTTAAGTCAGGTCCTCTGTACGTTCAAAAAACAAACAAACAAAAAAACCCAGAAGAAACGTTTTGTCTTTCATCCGAAAGACTTCCTCAGTCTGAGGTGCTGTATTCAGCTCAGTCTCTTAAATAGCACCTTCTCAGAGTGGATCAACCAGTTTGCTGCTGACAGCCAAAACCAGCTGATCACATGATCAAGAAGGACCATCAGCCTAACAATGGATCATTAGCACACTGATGGCTGTTTACTATTCACAGAGGGCCGAGTGATACTAGCAATCACAGCATTGTAAGAGGGGGACAGTTGAACCCGGAGGCCTCCACCCCTGTTTAATGATGGATGGTTTATTTTCACAAAGATGGCCTCCTTTACTCCTCTCTCAAACCATTGTTACTCTCTGTCCAGGATGTGAACATCTTCATCCCTGAAAGAGTGACCGCTGGCCTGGAGATGAGTGTAGACCGCAGAGTCCTGGCCTGATGATGTTGATCTTCTGTGCTGGGCCATCCTTTTGGCCAGTGGCAGTTTAGTTTCCCCGATGTAAGACTGATCACAGCCCTCCTGACACTGAACAGCATACACAACATTACTCTGTTTGTGCCGGGGGACTGGATCTTTGGGATGAACCAGTCTTTGCCGTAATGTATTTTGGGGTTTAAAAGCCACTGGGACGTTATGTTTAGAAAATAACGTCTCAGTTTCTCTGATACTCCCTCAACATATGGAATGACCACTGGTCTGGGTTCTTCCTTTTCACCTGATGGCTGACTGGAGTCCTGTTTGGATTTCCTATTTGCTTTCAGGAAGGCCCAATTAGATTTAGCTTATAAGACTAAGTTTGTTGCAGCTCCTCAGACTGAAGGTCTTTTAGATAAAAGACAAAACATTTCAACAAAGAAGAATACGTCCAGAGGACCTGACTAAACTTTGTTAGATTCATCTATGGATTATAGAGCAGAGAAGATCCAAATGTCCCCCTCTTACAATGCTGTGATTGCTAGTATCACTCAGCCCTCTGTGAATAGTAAGCAGCCATCAGTGTGCTAATGATCCATCGTTAGGCTGATGGTCCTTCTTGATCATGTGAGCAGCTGGTTTTGGTTGTCAGCAGCAAAATTGGTTGATCCACTATGAGAAGGTGCTATTTATAAGACTGAGCTGAATACAGCACCTCAGACTGAAGAAGTCTTTTGGATGAGAGACGAAACGTTTCTACCGTTTTTTTGTTTGTTTGCTTTTTGAACGTACAGAGGACCTGACTTAACTGTTTTAGATTAATTTATCAACTCCATCCATCCATTATCTTTTACCTGCTTCTTCCATTTTGGGTCACGGGGGTCGTCGGTGCCCATGTCCAGCAATCACTATGCGAGGGGCGGGGTACACCCTGGAGTGTACCCCGCCGCAAGTCCATCACAGGGACACACAGAGACAAACAACCATTCACTCTTTCACTCACACCTAGGGACAGTATGGTTTCATACCAAGAAAGAACACCACAGATGCCATTGTTGCTTTGAACATACTGATGGAGAAGTAGAGAGGGTCAGAAAGAACTCCATTGTGTCTTTGTGGATTTAGAAAAAGCATATGACAGAGTGCCGAGGGAGGAGGTGCAGTATAGCATGATGAAATCTAGAGTGGCAGAGAAGTATGTTAGACTGGTACAGGACATGTATGAGGACAGCAGGAAAGTGATAAGATGTGCTGTAGGAGTGACAGATAGCTTCAAAGTGGAGGTGGTAGTGCATCAAGGATCAGCTCTGTGCCCCTTCTTGTTTGCTCTGGTTATGAACAGACTACCAGATGAGGTCAGGCAGGAATCCCCGTGGACTATAATGTTTGCAGATGACATTGTGATCTGTGGTGAGAACCGGAAACAGGTGGAAGAGAACTTGGAGAGGTGGAGGTACATGCACTTGAAAGGAGAGGAATGAAAGTCAGCCGTAGTAAGACAGAGTACATGTGTGTGAATGAGGGAGGCTGGTGGAACAGTGAGGCTACAAGGAGTAGAGGTCACAAAGGTGCAGGACTTCAAGTACTTGGGGTCCACTGACCAGGAAAAGTTTACAAGACAGTGGTGAGACCAGCTATGTTGTATGGTCTGGAGACAGTGGCACTGTCAAAAAAATGGAGAAATAACTGGAAGTGGCAGAAATGAAGATGTTGAGGTTCTCCTTAGGAGTGACAGGAGTGGATAAGATTAGGAATGAGATCATCAGAGGTACAGCACATGTTGAACAACTGGGAGATAAAGTTAGAGAGGCCAGACTGACATGGTTTGGACATGTCCAGAAGAGGGACAGTGGGTATACTGGTAGAAGGATGATAGAAATGCAGCTGCCAGGAAAAAGACAAAGAGGAGATCTATGGATGCAGTTAGAGAGAAACATGGAGATAGTTGGAGGATGATGACTCACTGTGGTGACCCCTGAAGATGGAAAAAAATCGAAAGAAGACGTTCAAAGTTTTAATGCCTTTGTTGTCGGCAGAGGAAACTTTTTGTTTTAACGTGTTATTGGTATTTTGAAAAATAGTGATGACCTAGAGAATGTAGCTTTTGATCTGAAATACAATCACAATGGAAAGTTACAGGCTCCTGATGAAAAACAAACAGCCCATTGGGAAACTTTGAACTTTTATTTTCTTGCCCAATACACATAAAGTCATTAAGCGTTCACTGGGAGAATGTGTGATTTATTTAACGTAATTTGTGCATCTAATGACAACACCTTCTGGAGAAAGTGTTTAGAGAAGTGGCTCTTGTCATGAAACACACAAGTGTTGAGTTTTGCGATGTACAGAAATCAAATAAAACTATAAAAATGAGTGCCAATGTCATATTTAGCCTCAACTGTTCTAAAGGTGGAAAATGGTCATAAAGCAATAAAAACTCAAATATTACACGAGATGGTTAAGTGGAAATGTTTACACTTTTCATTAAAATAGAGACATGAGTCTGTGTTATTTACTTTGTAAATCAAAATCAGAAACATTGGTGAATCTTGGGCACGTCACAATAAAGAGTTCTCAGGACAGACCTGAAAGCACTTTTTATTTCTCAGCTAGGTTGGAGCACCTGATGTAGGTGGCCAGGTTCAGGAAGGTCTGGGGTCTTTAAACTTTTATTTTGTAGCGTCATGGGAGTAAAATGCCAGGGACTTTTCGTGTCAGTAATCGTAGAAAAAGAAAAAAGTACAAACTCATCTTTCAGGAAGCACTGCTCTTTAAGCTGTATATTTGTTAAATTAATTTATTTAACCGTTAGGCAGCATTTAATGCCACATTCTGCCCCTGCAAACACGGTTTAATAGAAACTGACATTAGATCAGTGAACAGGTGAAAAGACAACTTCTACTACAGTGAAAGAATTGAAAACATTTTTAATGATTCTGCAAATAATATTCTCATCTGGATAAATAAAACATAGAAATGCAAACACGCTCGTTCATCTGTCCATGTTTTTTTTTATGTAAAAAATTTACATCATGACTTTGAAAAACTAAACAATTTAACTCCAAAATGCAGACGTTGTGGATCGACGTTAATCGTTTTTTGTAAATCACTTCTCCCTCTGAATTCAACTATTAAAAGGTGTGACAATAGTTTATTATACCTATTTTTTTTTTAACAATATACAATTTTAAACAAAACCTTTATGGGAAGGACAAAGACAGACAGAGCAGGATAAAAGTGTTAGGATAAACATCTCTCTTCGTAGTCATTGGGTGTGATCTCTGTTGGGAGTTTCCCCATCGTTGCATGCTTCACACAATCTCAACAGATCCTCTCAGGATTTACAGTAAACAAATAAGAGACACGCTTGAGATATTTA